TACTGTCCATATTCTCTGCATTTTACTTTGAAACAAGCTTTCAGTCAACATCTTGGATAGGCCCCCTGTGGACTTTGATTTGTACTGTATGCTTGAGCAGCTCAGTTGGAAAGCGGTGTTTATCTAGAATCATGGCACTGGCACAGTGTTTCTTTAGGCAGGTGCCGTTCAATCCACACCACCTGCCTTTCCGTACAATCCTTTAACTGGACGCAAAAGATTAGCTGTCTAATGTGCTCAGTCTAAAAAGAGCACAGATGTGTTAGCCACTCGGGAGTGCTGCACTCTGCATTTCTAGTGGCATTAAACAGTGAGACAAGAGTGGTTGATTACTTATTCACTCGGGCACATTGCCATGCTCTGTGATTAAAGTGCTCAGCTATTATGACAAAGCCACATTGCATGTCTGCTGTTATGCAAACTGGGGACATGCTGAATTTTAATCATTTCCATTTCAACCTCTCTTCACAAGAGACATTATTCACAGTTGTTCAGACTTGTAGCTACAATGACATAGTTCAACTACTCAGACACTAGACCTTGGCAAGATGCAGTGTTACTACTTCAGTATAGCGGTTTCATATTGTGCCCACTCAGGTGTACTTGCCATGCAATGCTGTCTGTATTGTTTAGTTTTCCTCCCATCAGTTCTTTTTCAAACACAAATGACTGTTAAAGTGAATAGTAAGGCCCAGGAGCTGTTTGATTATGTTTTTTCTGGCAGCTTTATCCTCTCACACTTTGTATTTTATAAGTACCAAAAACTTTGAATCTGCCGAGCTGTGTAATCCGCTCCCTCACCCCTCTTTCCTCTAGCATTTGGTTTAACCAATTCAGTACACACAGCAGTCTTCAGCGGCAAAGGGTAAATGAGGCTAAGGGGGCTCAATGAAGCTCAGTCATCAGCCTAGGTTATAGAAATACTTAGTTAAGCAGATATAATTCTCAAGACAAAGTGATGGGGACAGTGTGAAGGTTACAAATAAATCCCTTAATGGCAGCTTTCAAAGCATGAAACCTAAGGGGTTCATGTGAGGAGAGGCCAAACAAAGGTAACAATATAACTGCAGTTAATGGAGCCATAACCACAGTTAAACTATCAGGTATCTCCTGTTGTATTTTGCTAACTGAATGTCATGACAATAAAGGATGGAGGGATTTTGGTTCCCAAGCAGAATAGAAATGCTGACTGATGCTTATCAAATCATCATTTTATGTACATACACTGTCCAGTGGATGTTGGTTGCTGTGTTCATGTGGTGTATGTTTCTTTGACAGGACTGAGCAAAAATGGCGGAGGAGTCCAGAGAGCATGGAGGCGTGAGCACCACTGATCCAGAGGAGGACTCTCCTAATATGATCGTCTACAGAAAGGCAAGTCTGACTCTGTGTGTGTGCTACAGTATTGGAGCTGTACGATGGGAGAAACATTCGCTGAGAGGCAATGGCCTGTAGACAGCGCCACTGGTCTGTATCATTGTGTGTCTACCGCACACTTGTTTCTCTGTCAAACTCAAGTGTCAGGAAGCCTCTCTTTCAACCATCTGGAAACAGGCTCGTCTCCCATCTCATTCTCATTTCTTCTCATCCTCCTACCACTGTATCCATCACTAGCCTGGCAAACGTTAGCCCCTCCAATGTTTTAATAAGCTCTTGGCCAATGAGAGGCAATTAAAGGTCAAGGGTAATTACTTCGTCCCCTTGGCACCTCAGTTTCAATAGCTGCTTTTTTATTGGACAGGGTGAGTGGCGTTGGTGGCTAATTATGTGAATAGTTGGCTGATTCTCCAGGGCTCAAATTGGGAATGGCCAATAAGAGTGCGGTTTATTTTCTTAGTCTGATGCACTGCTTGTTATGTGACACCATGAAAGCTAAAAAGCTTGTTTTTATCAGACCTAAGCCATGAGATCCACTCACGCCATCAAGTCTGCTGTCTTGATTATGATAAAAAGTGAACCACAGTAAAAGTGGGCTGCAGTTGACAAATCCTGTCCCACTGTCCCAAATCTGTTGTTCCATCCTGCTCCTAATGATAATTCATTCAGGAGGTAAACAGATCAGTGGAGGGATGGGCGAGACAGGATATGAGATAATTGTTGGCAGCGACTCCGTCAGTTGGCAAAATTTCCTTTTTAGTGTTGTAAACTGTAGAGTCTGGGGTTTTCCATCTTTGTAATGAACACCTCCAGACTGCAGCTCATCTAGAAAAACTGTCAGGGTGTTCAAATCGCTTACTCTACTTTTCATTAATGGAACTGCACAGCCAGCAGCAATTTAGTTGCAGCTTCAACCTGTCAGGATAACAGTGGGCATTTCCAGTCTCTGGTAGGAGTCTAGGAATCCCTATCAATAATCAGATCAGAACTACTGTCCACGATGGTCTTGAGACACATGGGTCCCCTCCTTGAAGTCTGGATATTTGTATATGTGGGTCTATTTTGTGGTTGTGTGCCTGTCCTGTGTTAATCTATTCATTATTTATGCAGGATTGTCCTCCATGTGTACTAAGAAGCTGTCACGCTGCAGAGAGAACATACTGTACTTACATACTGTAGATGCATGCAGTGTCTTTATGGATTTCACAGTGCAGCTTCATTATGTAATGCTAGACATGCCTGGAGGCAAAGCATTTAGCAGGCTAGTTTTTGCTTGTCAGCATGCTGCCTGGGGTAGTATTTGTCATTTTATCTTTTAGTCATATGCAGTGACAACCCACAGAGGAGTGGTTCTGAGAGTGTCAGGATATTTTTCACCCTTTGAGTATTTGGATAATTTGGATGCACTGAAGAAGAAAGATGTATAAGCTGGATAAGGTACACATAAAAAGAAATAATAATTTCCAAATAACAGTCATAAGAGGCAAGACGATAGAAGAGCTGGATTTTGGGCAGCAGAATGCCCATGGCCTCTAGACTTGGTGGGTGCATCCTGGTGTGGCTTGCCGAGAGGCAGATGGCCACCAATATGCCCTGCCACCTGGGAAAACACTGGGAGCTCCATCCCTGAGCCCCTTTGAGCTGGAAGATATCAGCATCTTATAGTAAGGGCCAAAGGCTGGTGTAGCCCTAGTCGAGAGATGAAACTATTTCAAAGTGTGTGCAGCACCTTGTGAAATGCATAAAAGGTCAGGGTTAAAATACCTTTACTTATATTACCATATCTGTTACAAACCTATTACGTTTACTGTGTAGGCAGTCGGGCAAATGTGATGTATTTGGCCATTAGCTATAAGCTGAGTGCTCAGCAGGGGACTAGGCCTCTGTCCATGAAGTCTAGGTGCTGCAGTACACTCTCTCTCTCTCTCTCTCTCTCTCTCTCTCTCTCTCCCCCCCTCACCTCCCACAAAAGAGGAAGTGAAGTCAAACAATCCAATAACTGCAGGACGTCTTATTGCCTCAAGCAAATTCTGGAGAAAATTTGGTCTAACAGAAGAAGTAGGTTGCACATATACTACAGATGTACACACAGGAAACACACACTACACATGCTTCATGTTGGCTTAATGCACACTATCCGTTCCTATTACTGTGCTTTTCCTTACTATGTTTGGCACAGTTCACAGACAGAATGGGTCAGGTCGATGAATAGAATAGGCACTAAGAGATACACAAAAACAAATTCAAACCATGATGTGAAGCACTGCGGTGCTGGGAAATGCCACTTTACTTCTCTGATGGGATAAAGCTGACTCACTAATAATAGCTACTATAACCTCTTTTGCCCCTAAGCGCATGTGTGTGTGTCTTCCCCTTTTTCCTCTCTGTGACCTGGGAGGGGCCAAGATTCTTCTGAGCTGTCTTTTGACACACACAACTAATTACTGCCAAAAAACTCCCAGGCTACTACCAGGGAACAGTTAAAGATCTGTACTGCATCCACTCTGCCTTTTATTCAGACCATGAAATGTTTGATTGGATAATTCTTGGCAGTCAAATTATACCTGAAGGCAGGTATTACAGCAACGGTATGAGGGATAATGGCCACACAGATCCACAGTGGGCCACGGAGCCTGCTCAGTGTGCATTAGGATGGCAGAGCCTGCCTTTACCCCTCTGACCTCTCAGCTATTCTAAACTGGTTTGGTTTAACTTAATATGTTGTGTTTTCACCATGGTGGATTATAAATTTATGCATTAAAAATGTGCACAAAAATGCAGGACAAACCATGTCCAGAGCATTTTGTTTATCAAAGCAGGACCATCACATAGTATGAGGGATGGGTGGCAACTATATTTCCCAGATTTGCATATTAGCTTCAGCTTGACTTTAAAATTCATTTTTATGCACAACAAAGGCCATGGATTATGCCCTCCATGTCTTCCACTGGACTCACATTATGCAGCTATGTCTTCATGGCTTTTATGGGCAGGATGAACAATATCAGTGACTGCCAGCCTTGTTATTTTTTTTACTACCTTCCATTTTCTCTGTCTCCCCATCTCATACCTTTTCAGCCTTTTCTGCTTGTTGCTAACTAATAATTGAAGCTCATTCCATTTTCAGAATAATATCTGGTCCTGTAAGACGTCTTTATCTGTCCATTCATTTATTCATATCTGGCACAATTTTTTACCACATGGTATTTTTATCCATGTATGTGCTTCTGCTCTAAATGCGATGATAGAAGGACTAGAGGGGAAAAGAGCACAGGATGTAAAGAAAATATGGCTTTTATTAAAACAGTATTTCTAAGTCAGTTGAATGGGGCATTGAGATTTAGTGTTGTGATATATGATGGTGAAAGTGTGCTCCAGAGGCAGAAGATATTGCATTTGCAGTTATCACTTTTGCACTGACCGAGGCCAGTTATCACTTTTGCATCACTCCTTGGAACTGGATAGATGTTAAATTTAACATACCCGGTGTGACTAGTATCAAAGCCATTATTTGCCTCACACAACAGATGCACCAATGACTGTCAGCTAGTTGGGTTTAGAGACATGCCACAGAGAGTTCATGCCACGAGACAGATAATACGGAAACACTACTGTTGAAATAGGCATAAGATTACAGCTATCAGGCTACCGGGTCAACACTGACTCTCACTAGAGTGGCAGGAGAAGATAAAATCATTGGAGCTTGTGGCAACTTCTTACATCGTCCATTTGCCTACCACAGCGTGGTCTGACAGCTGCTCAGGCCTGAAAGGTCAAGAGGACCGAAGCACTGTAGATGTGCTAGTCAGAAGGAGTCTTTCTGCTGCCATCCATGAGTCACACTCTCGTCTCTCTCTGAATTCCCCCTGGGGCCCATGGAGGATATATCACTCCTCTTTTTAAGAATAACCTTCATCCAAGGCATCTATGGGCCACTATTCACTTTTCCTCTGTGCACTTAAGATAGCACAGTCCAGCCGAAGGCTCTGGATATCACGGCTACAGCTGCAGAGATAAATTCTCCCAGTGCTTTATCATGTAGAACTGTTTTAACACTGTCTCCACTAGCACCACGGGACCCTTTATCTGAGGCGCTGGTATGGGCTGAACTATCAGGGGTCATGCTGAAGCCTGTGCTTCTGTATGTTACGTTCCTAGTTGGGTCAATAAGATAAAACAACAGTAACAGTGCAAAGCTCTAAAGCTTATGTAACCAAACTCCTGTCTGTTTAATGTGTTGGCCTGCCTCTTCTTTTCAGTAAAGCAGAAGGACCAACACATGAAATTCCTCGAAGTCCATTGAAAAACAAATCATAATTGCATGATAATTCACAGTGTTTTGGCAGCTGGAACACTGTGTTGACAGGATTATTCAACTTATCCATAGACGATCGCTGTGACTGAAATAGAAGGCATGTACAGTATAAGTGCCTGTGCTAGGCTCCTTCCCTCTTTACGGAGCACGTTTAGTAGTGCAGCAAGTGTTTCTGTATCTTAGCATAAAACTGCACAGAGTGATGTTAATTGGGAGCTTGATGGTCTGGTGCTGCCATGTCCCACTTCTAAACGCTCTCCCTAGCTCTTCTGAGTCTCCCACGTATCACAGGCTGAAAAGGGGGCTGCTTGGAATCACACTAGAGGTGGAGTACACCTTAAATACTTCCTACTGCACCCTGAATAACCTCAGCATCAGGAGGGCATTCGCTGCACTCCTACAGAGCAGATTATATGCCTACTGTATAAAATTACAGCAATCAACTTAGAGAAGCTAAAAATCTCATTAAATGTGTAGCAGCATCAGTGAGGAAACTGTTGCTCTGTTATACTGTTGTTGATGATGCTGATAAACAATGAATTCATGTGTCGTCATCATGTACAGCAGATACTAATGGATTATCGGAACTGGCTCTGACATTATTTTGTTAAACGCTGCTGGTGGTGCTCGGTGCCTTTGGGCAACACTGACATGTTTGACAGCAATGACTTGCTTAGAAAAA